GGAAAACAAAAACTCAGTTATTAATTGAGGTAGCAAGCTTATTAAATATTTTTCTTGCTTTAATTTTGATTTCTATTAGTACTGTTATATGTCCCTACAATCACTTTTTCAAAGAAAAACAAATATCAATGCAACAAAAATTTCTAAATGTATCTGCTTTATTTTCAGGTTTGAAAATACTGACTTAGTCTACTGTTTACTTGTTTCAAGACAATATTCATCTTCAACACGAACAAAAAATGTGAACATTAGGAAAGTCACTCAGCACTCTATTCTTTTTATTATATTTATACACCCAACTCACAGCTTTTTTTAAGTGGCCACAACAAACAGTAGTACCAGGCCTGAGTCAATGCTAGCTGACCAAAACTATGCTGAAACTACACACACAGGACAGGGAGAAATAAACTAAATACAGGTTGATTTAGAAAATAGCTATTTGTCCTTTCCTGTGATATTTCTAAAAATTACTATACTGCCTCTTAAAAATTATAATTTTCTTCCCGATTGCTTCATTATCTGGCGGTCTTTGCTTTCTGGGAGCATGTTTTATTATCCTTACCATTGGAGAAAAGGCCTGCCAAGGTTACACATCAAACATCTATAAAACAAAGCCACTGACCAGCGTCCTTCCCTAAAGGCGAGGGACTGGGTCCTAGTCACGTCTGTAGGCCAATGCCAAACACAGAGCTTTGTACACATTAAAGTTCATATATTCTAAACATTAAAAATAGTTTTCGTTCATCTAAGATGTCTAAAATACTCATTGGAATCATGCCTGAATTCAACCCTTCTATGCACCGCTCCCTACCTCCCTTCCCACCCTCCCTTTGTCTTTTACCAGATTCCACCCAGCGTAACTAACTTAGGCAGCAGTTTTTGTTTTGTTTTGATTTTCAGGCTGAGTGACTTTGAAGATGAAGGCCACATGGCAAAGACGACAGTGTCTCACTAAGTCAGTGATAGCTACTAAGCACCTGAACATCGATTACCACTTGTGTTGCTCATACAGCTGGGCCAGTCAGCAGAGTATCACTATTTGCATTCTAAAAGCTAAGAAAACTGAAACTTCATATGTTAAATTACTCACTGAATTCACAGAAGTAACTGGCAATGATATGGTCTCTTGATCCCTTCTCTCTCTCACCATTCCACAGAAAATTTCTCAACAGAGTAATCTGTACCCTTGTTGTCCCTGATCAACCTACTCCACACTGGTCTACAATCAGTTGTATCACAGAAATAGTTCTTATCCAGGTCCACAATGTCCACGTGCTCAGTTCAATGGCCAGTCCATGCCCTCTTAGCTGATTGTCTCAGCAGCACTTGACCCAGATGAAACACTTTCCTCTTGGCTACCTAGACCCTCTCCTGTTTGTACCTCTGCCTCACTGGCTGTCTCTTCTTTCTCCTTTGCTGGTTTCTCCTCCCAACTTGTACATGTTCAACTGGCCAAAGGTTCAGCGGCAGCCCTCTATCTACTCTCTCTCATAAGTGCTCTCATGTATTTATATTCCTTTCGATGCCAATAATTTCCAAATGGAAATTCCCCTCCTGAGCTATCCATGAGCTTCAGATCCATGTAACTGACTCCATAGTTAATATTTCATCTTGCCATATAAAGCTTTTTATTGGAAATCCTTTCAACCAGTATGATGAGTGGTTAGTTGTAATTATCAAAAGTTGAAAATTCTCTGGGTGAAGCAGAGAATTAAAAAACACACATACCTTAAACATTTTCTTTTATTTAAAACACAAAGGTTCATTCATTAGCCAATCTTTTCATATGAGACCAAAGCCTTTTCTTTGAATGTGGGCCCACAAATAAATGTTCCATATCATCTTTTTTGCATAATTTATAACACACTGAATTGTCCTATGATTTCAAGTTTCATTTTGTCTAAAATAGAACAAGCACATAAAGACACTAACATGCACTGAATATAGAAAGCGTCTAGATTTTTATGACTTTTTTCAGTCTTTTACAACTGACTGGCTTGCTCATACTTAATTCTATAGCAATTTTTTATAAACCAACTCTACTTTTTCAAATTAGTTTTCAACTCTTACTTTTTAAATAGATAACTCTATTTTTAAACTCAATATTCATTAGTGTATATGAGACTTACTGACTTATATAATTACAATGATAAAAATAATGAGTATAATGAGGCTCTTGGTGGCATATAGTTCAACTGAAAGGAGCAAAGGCATATGACACACTAAAAGATGGTTTATTAGCTTGGGAGTTTTGGGTGCTGTTGGCATCAGGTAATATGTCTTATGGTAAAAATGGAAAGCACTGGTATCTGAGTCCATTAAGGGGATATGGGCTAAGAAAGTTCTTGATTTCTACTTCCCACTTCTATCACTATGACGCCTTACCTTCTCCAACCCTCCTCATGTCAGTAAACAGCAATACTCAATTGCTAAAGCTGAAAGCTTTAATTTCTCCCTCTTACTTACCAATGTCTAAGGCATCAATAACTCCTGTCTTTCCAGAAACTCTCAAAGTATATCCTAGACATATGCACCTCTCTCCATCTCCATCCTCATCATTGACAGTTCAAATGCCATCATCTCCCAGCTGTAATAACATCATAACTAGTCTCCTATTCTTGCCTCCCCCTTCAATCCATTCTCCACTTAGTAGCCCAAGAGAACTTTGTAAAATGTGAATGAGATGGCATTGCATTTCTGCTTTTACCTCTTCAATGACTATTCATTATTTATGAAATACAATTGAAACTCCTTGCCATGATCTACCAGTTCTTAAAGGAATCAGCACCTATTTACCTCTTCAACTTCATCTTATACCATTCCCCACTTGCCCAGTCTGTTTTAGGCACACTGACCCCCATCCTCATTCTTCTAATATGCCAAATCCCCACCAGGGCCACTGCACATGCATTTCATTCACCCTCAACACTGTTCCACTGACTCTGCATAAACTTGCTTCTTATTTTTCAAATGCTGCCTCAAATGTTATGCGCCTTCAAAGAGGTCTCTGTTGATCATCCTAACTAAAGGGCTCTTCCTCTGAGACTTCCTTCCATCTCTCACATCTAAGTTACTCTACATCACATCATCTTGTGTGTATTTTTCTTTATAACAGTTACCAAATATAGTCACTTTCTTATTTTTAATTATATGCTTATATGTTTTTGTCTCTAGCCACTAAAATGTAAAGTTTCATTACAGCATGAATTTCCTTCATCTTGTTCATTGTTTTCTTCTACCCAGATCAGCACCAAGAGTAGCTGCTTAATAAATATCTTCTGAATAAAAAAGTTAATCTTCTGAATAAAACAAGTTGAATATATTCTTTATGAAATCAACTGATATTTCAGGCATAAAAGTCCTAAACTAATGTCTACAAAAAAAAACTCTCTATAAGAATGTTTATAGCAGCTTCATTCATAGTAGTAAAAACGTAAAAACAACCCAAATGTCCATCAACAGGTGAACACATAAAGAAATCACAGTACACTCATACTAGGAAATATTACTCAGTAACAAAAAATGATACAGAGTAATACAATGCCTCAAAAAGATTTTGTGAAAGAAAACAAACAGAAAAGAGAACATTCTGTATGATTCCAATTATATAAAGTTGGAGAGCAAGACTAAACATCTATGGTGATAAAAATCAGAGCAGTGCTTGTCTATAGAAAGTGGAGACTGGCTGGGAGGAAATACAAAGGAACCAGAATATCTTGCATCTTGACAGGTGTATGGGTTACATGGGTTATAAACATTTATAAAAATGACTACATTGCTCACTGAATGCAAATTTTATTACATTTTTTAAAACAGACAAAAATCCTAAATTTTCTTACTCAGACATCACAGGGAATGCAAAAATCAAAAAAACAGAAACACACTATTTTTCACGTCCACCAAGATCTACTTATTAAAATGTTCATTTTCCTCCTAACTTCCTACTCTTCTCTGGTGGAAAAATAAAAAGATTTGAACCAAAATATTCAATTAATTGTCCATGTGGCAACATACTAGGAAAATACCTGTCACTATGAAAGATGATTTATTATGCATTTATTTATGAGTAAACCATATAAAACTGACAGAAAGCATGAGCCAATATATAAACAATCATAGAAGGACCAATCAATAAAGAATATTGAGATTCCAAAGCACATCAAATGACTATAACGTGAGACACCCATCACGAACTGTGTGCTAATGAACCTCCCAGCAATAGACTGAGCAAGAATGTTGTGGTTTCCAACTTCTTTCTACCCCAAACACCTAAGAAATGCCACACATGGACTCATGATGGCATACTAATGCGTGAAATGCAAACAAAGAATGTGTAACAATGAGAAACAGAGACATGCAATTAGAATGTATAAAAAAACCTACATGAATCCGAAATATACATTTCCTTATAACACACTCTAACTCCTGAACAGCCATGTTAAGAATCACTATCTGAAGATACAAGGCCCCAAACAGTAGCTATCAACCACATATAGCTATTGAACACTTAAAACATGGTGAGGTTAAATGAGATACTGAATTTTTAATTTTATTAAATTTTCAATTTAAAACATATTGAATTGGAAAGTTTTAAGTATGTTTGGAATAACTTCTTATGTAAACTACTTTTTCAACTGTTATCTTTACGAAATACAAATATAGACCAAATATTTCCAATGAAAATTCAGTGTCATAATTGAGATGTATGCTGCGAGGATAAAATACACACTGGCTTGGAAGACTTAATACAAAAAAAAAAGTTTAATAGCTCACTAATAATTTTTGCTATTTTGGATTCACTGGTTTAAATAAGTTGTTAAAATTCATTTCACCTGTTTCTTTTTACTTCTTTACTGTAACTACCAGAAAATTTAAAAGTGTATATGTGGCATGCATTATATTTCTACTAGATCATACCATTTTAAAGCTTATATATCTAACTGCACATTAAAGATACCTTTATGATACATTAATGATTGATATTTCAAACACCTCCTGACCTTTTCACTTGATTGTCTTCTTTTCTTTAGTTGAATGAAATCTGTTTCCACCCTTTCTGCCAGCTCTAGTTTCCTCTTGTTTCTTTTAAATGCAGCTAAACTGAATCCTATAAAAGAAACATTAAAAATGACATATGATAAATATTAGGGCAATGGGCAGATGAGATATCCTGAAGAGCCTTCTCAGAACAAAATCCTTAAGAATGTTGGATAAAGGTTTAAAGAAGTCTTTTCAATGTACACTAAGGCAGTAGGATAATAAGAAAAATAACCTAAGGTTAAAGAAGTAAGAGAAAGGTGAAATCCAGGTGATTCCTGAAGGTAGATCCTACCCAGGGGTATATGCGAATGCATGTCACAGTCAACTCTGGCTTTGAAGCTCTCTGTACATAAGGGACAAGAGATGAAACCTAGGGACAGCACAGCACAAGGAAACATACTGGGGATTATCCACAAATAAAGGAAGGACCCCAAAGGGTGCTATGCCAAGTAAGAGGGAAAACTAGAAAAGGCTGTCATATGCAGAGAAACAGGCAACTTGGAAGTCTCAGCCTTGGATATAAATGTAAGGGAGCAAAAGTCTCTCTAGATAACCCATGACCAAGAAGGGCATTAAGATAGGTTTAGAGGAAATTCATATTACCAGGGTGGCCTGGAGAGAAAAAAAAAAAACACAAAAAAACACCTCAGAAATTATCTGGGTGCGCCAGTGCTTCAAAAACCCATAAAACACAAATGTAAATATTCCCTAAAAATACTTACCAGACTTCAGAGAATTCCCGTATGCCGATTAA